AATACTTGCTTTGAGTTATCTTTAAACTTTCTTGAAGTCATTTTCTATAAATTTCACGTTATACAATTGAATCGACTATTGTTATTTTGAAAACGTAACTACATTTTTTTAAAATTGTACATGAAATGAATATTTTTTGTTTTCTGCAAACAACAAATCTTTTAGTTGGTGGTGCTTTGCTCCTCTACTAGGTACTACTTATCTGCCGCTTGTCCAACGAGCCAAGGTGTTACTTTAACGTTTTTTCAAGAGAATTACTTAGCTATTGTGTGTACATTGTATGGCATTGAGAGATATTTCGAATGCGTTAGTTCATTCTCAGAGAGGTCGCTAAGCCCCTGCCTAAGCTTTGTTTTAATGTAACTGAAAGCTCGTGACGTCACGCCACTCGTGTCATCCGCTAACTGCAATAAGAAGGTGTTAAGAACACTCAAAAATGTTAATCCAGATTGTTGACAAATAGACAAGCTCCTACTGACTCGTCCAGTATCCTATTATGTAGATACTCGTTTATACAAAAGAGATTTTGCTAATGAATATTCGTGTGTATTGTACTATTGCTTTACGAATATTTAAATAAATAAATACTATACCTATGTTATTTAAGTTTTTGCCCTTTTTTATTTATTTAAATAAAATAAAGGTTTACAAGTCCTTACTTTTTGTTTATGTTTAAAAATTGGATAATACGTTTTGTCTGATCAAATTGTGATATATTTTAAAGTGGGGCGATCTAATCCTGCGTGTAGAGGTCAAGCGAGCGCATATTTTATGAACGAAACAATATCAGGTTTAATTCAAGCTTTTTGTACTGAGTTCGTTTATTAACAAATTAAAGTAAAGCTGAGTTTAACAACTGATTATAAGTTGTAAAGTTGGGGCAGTGGCCGCGAGGCGGGCCAATGGCAGCCCGGGGCGGGCCCGACAGGGATGGCGCTAGCTGACGCTTACTAGAGCGACCGGGATAATAACCTCGAGTTCCTCGGGGCGGAGTGATTTATAGCAGTTGTGTAGAAGCGTCGGACGAGACGGGACGTGTGGACACAGCCTCCGGATGTGAGAGACGCGCCGACGAACTCGCGACTCT